GACCTTGGCACTCGGCTGCTTTCCTGGGATGGCTGAGCCATAACATGAGAATTTTAGAGCATGCCAGGATCTTAGGGGTCATTGCATCCCCTCTCATCTTATGGGTGTGCTTCTTAGCGGCAGCCTAGGGAAGGGAGCCACTTTTCCAGGGTTTTAGCAAAGTCAGGTCTAGAACCCAGGTGAGCCAGGCCACAGCGGGCGTGGCCCAAGATGTGGGCACCTTTGTTCCCCAGGGGAAGTAGGTGGGGCAGTAAAAGGGAGGTGTTTGTCTATTCAGGTGACGGGTCCAAACTGTAAAGCCCATTGTTTGAAATCCAAGGACCAGATGCTGCAAGCTGAAAGAATTTTCCTAGATGCCTCGGGTAGGACAGGTAGCCTACTTTCCTGCTCCCAGGCTGCATCAAATGAGAGCCTGTGGCTTCCCTGGTGGCGCAGTGGTTAAGAATCCGCCTGCCAATGCAGGGGACATGGGTTTGAGCCCTGGACCGGGAAGATTCCACATGCCGTGGAGCAACTAAGCCCGTGCGCCACAACTAATGAGCCTGCACTCTACAGCCCGCGAGCCACAACTACTGAGCCCGCGCGCCTAGAGCCCATGCTCCACAACAAGAGAAGCCACCGCAAAGAGAAGTCCGTGCACCGCAACGAAGAGTAGCCCTCGCTCACCACAACTAGAGAAAGCCCGCGCACAGCAACAAAGAACCAAAGTAGCCAAAAATAAATAAATAAATAAATAAATAAAAAGAGAACCTGGTACTTTTCCTAAACGGTCCCAGCAAAGGCTGCATTCAGGGTGAGGATGGGGGAGGTGAGCCACTGCTGTCTCCCATGTCATCCCGGCTTTGTGACTTTCATGACACATCAATTGTTTAATGCAGCTATTTTGGCCTGATGACTCTGGGGCCCAAGATTACCTGTCTGGACCCTTCTCCCTTCTTTCTCCTTTTTCCTATTCTCATCAGTACTGGCCTAACTCAGCGTCTGAGATACAAGCTGCTTACTTCTCCTAACAAACACCTAATCCGCTCTACAACCTTTCCTTTCATTGCCTTCTACCTCCCTTCCCCAGTTTCAGCCAGGTATACAGTCTTTGATCGGTGGTTTCTTGAACCTGGGTTACCCTTCCCCCATCCCTTCTGGTTGAAACTCTTGACGTTCTTTAAGCCTCACTCAAATGCCACCTCCTTCATGAAGCCTTCCATGCACCCTTGTTATAGACTAATAGCTCTGGGCTGCTTCTGCTTAGCATTCCCCCCACCCCAAATTCATGTCTACCTGGGACCTCAGAAGGTGACCTTATTTGGAAATAGGATCTTTGGAGATGTAATTAGTTAAGGATCTCAAGATGAGGTCATACTGGATTTAGCGTGGGCTCTAAACCCAACGACTGGTGTCCTTATGAGAAGATGAGAGGATGCACAGACCCACAGAGCAGAGAAGACAGCCACGTGCAGGTGGAGGCAGAGATAGGAGTGACACTGCCACAAGCCAAGGGACGCCAGCCAGGAGCCACCAGGAGTTGGAAGGGGCAAGCAAGCATTCTCCCATAGAGTCTTCAGAGGGAGTGAGGCCCTGCCAACACCTTGGTTTCAGATTTCTGGCCTCCAGAACTGTGAGAGAATACATTTCTATTGCTGCAAGCCACCAAGGTAGTGGTCATGTGTTATGGCGGCCACAGGAAACTAATACACACTATAATTTGTGCCTTGACTGTAAGCACCTGGCCATGTCCCTGCCCTTCCCCAGGCCCAGAGCTGCATCGAACACCTGACAGGCATCTCAGGTAGGTTTGCTGGACTAGGTCTCTCAGAGATGGCTGTCGAGGGATAGTTGCGCCTCAGCCTGCCCCAGTGCCAGGGTGGGAAGGATATGGGATTTGCTGAATGGATGTGATGGAGAACAGGAGTCACAAATCTACGTGAAGGTCTAATTCCTGGCAAGCTGCTTTAGGAACGGGGCTACAGACCCATGGACTGTAAATTCAATAATAGCAAAGCAGGTGTGACTCAGAGCCAGTTCTTACACTGGCTCCCTGCAATGGGTCCCCGAGTCCCGGCTCTACCCCTTCTCCATGGAGGGATTGGGCCCTGGTGTGTTGCCCCTGCCTCTATGGTCCTACAGTCACGGCTCAGGGCTCTAATCCAGCCACTTGCCTCTTACTGGACCAGAGGCTGGAACAGCCCCTGCAAATACTTCCAAACAAACAGTTCACTCTCTCCTCCAGGGGACTCCTGCTAAAACCACGTTAAGGTCAAGCACTGGAGGCTGGGCCTGCCACTAGCCTGCCAGGAGCCTTGTTGGGGATGGGGTGAGCCCAAGCTCTATGAATGCTTTCGTGGAAGGAAATCCAGGAGGACACAGAAAATCTAAAAGGATTGGGCAATGAGCATGACTGGCCCTTCCCGGGTTAACCTTGTACATGGTGGCTAAGCAGAGTTATCTCCAGGTAAGGAACTTTCCAACTCCTGGCACCTTTGTGTTCCTTTAAGAAAAACCCTCATTTGGGTCACCTTTGCAGCCTAAGGTGCACTACTGCTCACAAATATTGCCAAATCCTGTTTGACTCAAGGTCATTATGGGAAACTGGGTTGTCACTCCCCCCAAGAGTAAACTCTCTTGGACATGCCTGCTACTTGCAAAGACTCTGGTTCTCCTCCCTTCTTTCTCTTTAGGGGGCCTTTCCCCTCAGGTCCAGCCTGCACTTCCACCAAGGGGAGGAGAGTCAGCCCCGTCCACCAAGGTCACCTGTCTAACACTGCTGCAGGCTGCAGCTGGTGCCACGCTCCCCAGCTCTCTCCAGCTGCTCCAGGACCACCCTGAGCCCACCATCCACACAACTCTCTCAGCCATCTCCTCCAAAGTCCCCACTCCACAACACACGGCCGGCCCTTTGTCCCCAAGCCCACCAGCCCCCAGACGCTCCCAGCTCTGGGAGTTGTCCCAAGGTCCTCTCACTGGGCCCCAGACGGACTCAGGCAAGAAACCTCGATTTCAAATTCCCCACTGTGACAGCAAGCGCAAAGCTCATTAAAAAGTAGCCCCAGTAATTGGTCCCATGATGATGATGAGTTATAGGGAGGGCTCTTGGGCGTCCTGACTGGTCCGAGCACTGAACCTAGGGTGAATGGCACTGGAAGTTCCAGAGGCCCCGTGGTTCCTGTTTCTGGTGACCAGATACCGATTTAAGACATATTTCTCATTGGCCCTGGATTTATTCTTTGGGAGAAGATATCTATTCCAAGTTAGGTGGGGCATGGTTCCCAGTGAAGGGACTCACAGGGTGCCGCTCTACCCCCTCCACCCCCCAATGCCATATACTTCTTTCAATTGAGGCTTGTTTATAGTCAGTCAATTTTTCCAGATTGACTGAAAGAGTTCTTCATATGCCTACTGCAGCCAGTTACAAGAGCAGTGAAAGAGACCCAGGACTTGGGCCAGCTGGAAGAGTCAGAAGAAAGTTTCTGTGGGATGCAGACTGCTAAGGAATGACAATCACATGCGATTGTCCCAAACCCTGCATCCTTCTGCAAGGACACCCTCATCCGCCACGCCTCCACAAAGGGGGCATCACCTCAAGGAAACGAAACTGCTGAGAAGAACTTCTGCTTCTCCTTTTTCCGTGTGTCCAAGGGTTAAAAACACTTCCAAACTCCCCTTCCAACTGCAAGGTCAAGCAGCTGTCCAAACCACCCAAGGAGAAGCAGGAGCCCAGGACAGCCGACCCCAGCTAGCTCGGCCTTGATAGTCGCCAACCTACAGCTGCTCCCCCCGCACCCCCCACCCCTAGACACCGCCTGGGGAAGGAAGAGTTAATCGGCAATCGGCTTTGGCCGATGGTTCACGCTCCAAAGTTCAGTCCCAGTCAGAGCCACCCCGGAGGGATTGTAAATCTCAGGGCAGTATTTAACAAAACAAAAGCAACCTGGAATTACATGCAGGTTTGGTTTTCTACAGTACATATTTACTTAATCCCCTAGGTATGTGGCTCCCTGTCAGATCAGCTGGCTTTGCTGGCCCTTTCACCCCCTCGCTCACAACAGTTTAAATTTCAATCTAATTCCCTGTTTTTGCTCTTCCTCTTCACAGGGCTGGCTGGAGACAGCCAGCCTCAAATCTCTCTCTCTATTGCTCTAGTCACTGGGTGAGTCAGCCCGGCTTGGGTCGGAGCTGGGTGACAGCTGGCTCACCCTCCACACTCTTGGGCACCAGGTCTGGGATAAGTGGGGGAAGAGGTGCTGGGTCTACCAAAAAGTTAAAGGCAGAGCTTGGGTGCTGGGGAGGTGGCGTTGCACCACCTCGCCCCTTAGTGGGGAGGGATCCCCTCTGGGGCTGTACTGGGGGGGTCGGGCGGAGGCAGCATTGAAGTGAGAACAAGGGCTCTTTATCAGCTGCTGGTTACCCTTGTCCCCTCTTTCCAGATTTCCAAACACCTGGGCCTCCGAGCGCCTATCAGGCTAGGCTAGACATCCATCACCGTTTTTTCCTTTTCAAACCCAAACCAAGTATCCCCTCTTTTCTTGCCTCCAGAGCTGCAGCCGCCCAGGTTGGGGCTGGGAAGCGGGTTGCCAAGGAAAACATGAAGCGCCAGCTAACAGGCGGCTCCCAGCTCTACCCAGGAGCGCACACACCCTTCACTCCCCAGGGTGGCGGCAAAAGAGGGAAAGACGAGAGGGAAAACACGACACCTTCCTCTGGGAGGGAAGAATGTCGGAAAGCGGGGGGGTCTGCTAAGTTTCGGGCTGGGGGTGAACAGCCAGCCACAGATCCCAGAGGAGCGGGTCAGTTCCGGACCTGCCAAAAAAGACAGTCGGGTGCCCGGGAAATGTACAAGGTGAAACTGACTAGCTCAGCACTCACGGGTGGCGCAGAGAAGTAGGGTGGCGGGCGACTTTCAGACCCTGGGCTCGGGTTCCGGCAGCGGCAGCAGGTGGGCGCACCCCTGTCCCCGCGGTCCCCCTAGCCTTTGGCCCCCATCCCCTGGAGTCGCGGTGTCCCGGTACCTTTCTGGCGCCGCGTTCCGCGAACTCGCGAGCGAGCTGGCGCCCGATGCCTCTCCCGCCGCCGGTGATAAGGACGTTCTCCCGAGACAGGTCCCGCAGCTTGGCGGGCAGCACCAGTCCGACGGCAGCCTTCACCACCAGATAGATCATCTGCAGAGGGAACACCACCAGCGCGCCCAGCCATTTCCACACCATCCTCCGCGCCGCGGAGCCGGGCAGGGGTGGGGGGGCGAAACTCCCCGGACCGCACAAAACAGGACTTGAAAAAGAAAACACCCCCAAACAATAATAAATACACCGAATAAGGGGCAGAGAGGCGTCCCACCTGGCCACTCTTGAAATCACCTCTTCCCAAATGCAAAGCAAGCACCGGGTGAGAAAAAGGGCGGGGGGGGGGGGGGGGGGGGGGGGGGGGTGAGATAAATCCTCGGGAGGAGAAAAAGCGTCTCAGAAGGTTGGGACAGTAAGAGGGGTGGAGGGGAAGCCGGAGGTGGAAAGTTCTAAGAAGAACTTTCGTGCCCCAGCAGCCGTTTCGGCTGGGGAATTCTCAGGTAATGTTTACAGGCTGACAGAGGAGTTTAGGCAGGGGAAGAAAAAAAAAAAAAAAAAAAGGCACCAACCACACGCGCGCACCCTGCTACAGACCCCCGGTTTCAAAGTGCAAAATTTTAAAAAAAAAAAAAAAAAAAGCTGTTTCCAAATTGGAGCGCCTCCCCCCTTATCCAGGAAAAAAAAAAAAAAGTGGGGGGGAAAAGTGCTTGGAGCTCCCAATTTCAGCCTGCGAAAGTCTCCCGACTCATTGCTATTCTTGGGCTCAGGAAATTGCTTAAACGCGATCTGATTGCCAGCAACGTGCAGGAGAAGTGGGGGGTCCGGGTGTCAGTTTCTTTACGTGCATGGCTCGCCCTCGCGCGCGCCCGCTCTCTTCGGCTCCCTCCCTCCCTCTCTCTTCCAGCAGAGGCTGGGAGTTGCCGCTCGATCCGGCTCCCTCTCTCTCCCTTGTTAGCATTTATTGCCTTCTTTTTGTCCTTTCCAACTTGGAGAGGGCCCGGGTGCGGAGCGCGCGTGGATCGGACGCCCTGGTCTGCGCCGCCCTATCCATTCGCTCCCGGGGCAGCCGCGGCTGGCTGGGAGCGAAAGGGCGGCCCTTTTTCCCCCCATTTTTTTTTAATACCCCATTAAGTCTGATTGACAGTTAAAGTTGTTCCGAGGCTTCACTACCGTTCCTCTGAGTGGCTGCCGCGAGCTCCCCTCCCCCTGCGCAGTGGCGGGGTGCGCGCGCGGGCGCGCACACGGGCTCGCTGCGACTCCGCTCTCCTGGGGCCGGCTCCCCTCGCTGCAAGCCGGGGCTTGCCGGCGGTATCCCTGAGGGCTCTCCGCCGTAACTCGCACACGCTAGAACCGACTCCTGCGAACCGGCTCACTCCTCGAGACATTCCTCCTGGCCCGGGACGCGGTCTCCCCGAGCAGGAGAGCCTGCGGGCCAGGTGACCGCCCCTGCATGCGGTGCAGGCCCGGGAGAGCTCGCGCTTGTCTTGATCCATCAGGTCGCCCAGGGTTTATTTCAGGTCATTTGATCATTCCCTGCCTCCATAGGACCGGGGAGCCACTTCTGACCCTTGCCCAGACTCCTCCAGTTTTCACTTAGAGCGCACTTTCTAAGTCTGCCCCGAGTCCCTCACGTTGCTGGGGGGAAACAGCTGGGAGCAGGGTTTTGCTTTGAGGGGTGGGGGTGTGGGGGTAGGGTAAAGGAACCTCTGCCCCCAGAGTGCCAATAAAATCCCCGTACGATTAGCTGGGAGCATATTTATTGCTCATCTGGGCTAGAATTACCTTGACTGACAGCAATTTCCTTAATAACAAACGCCTGTAAACAAAACGTGCTAAACCCACGCGCCCCCTCCCCCCCTTGCTGTATAGGCAGCAGCTCCTCTCTCTGGGTCTCCCTGGGCTGCTCTAGTGGGGCACCCACCTTGTACCCTCCTGCTTTCCCCCAACAAGAATGTCTCCCTTGCTGGAGGGTGGGACCCAGCTATTTAGAGTTGTCTGTTGCAGGAAGTCTGGGAGGTGAGTCACTGCAAAGCAGGCCCAGTTAAAAGTGCTGATGGGACTTGCCTCCTGCTGCCCCTGATGGTCCCAGGCCTGGAGGAGAGAGGGTGAGCCAGGGAGCTGCCCTGTAACCTGGCGCAGCAGTTCTCCAGCGAGAGGCTTGTTCAGACGGGGAGTGCTGGGCCTCGCCCCCAGACCTTCTGATTCAGCAGGGCTGGGTGTGCTGGAATCAGTACATTTAATGCTCTGCTGAGCATCGGGCGAGAAAACCACTTTGAGAAAGGCTGGTTTGGGGATGGGGTGGCTGGAGGTTAAACTCCTCCCTGGGCTGCAAAGACCCTCTAGTTCTGGAGGGAAGTTCTGCAGGCGAGGATCTTCCTTCCAGATGAATTTGGAAAATCGCTATCTGGACGGCTGGAAGAGCAAGAAGGTAGAGTGGGGCTGGATGAGAGACTGTCCTATACTGAGGGCTTAGATTCTGAAATTTAATCCTCCCACTGACCTTGCAGGGGGGTTATTATTATCCCCATCTGCCAGGTAGTACAGAAGGGAGGAATCCAAATCCAGACGTGATTCCTCTTCCCACCCCACCCCACTCTGGCAGGAGAGGAGGAGAGAGGTGGAGACCAGGCTCCCTCCAAAAGTAGGATGGAAAGGCAGGCCATTGCTTTCATAGGCTCCCAGGCCACGGCTAAAGGCAGGACTTCGTCAACGTGACGGCCTCCTCCCACCTAGGAGGTCTGTAAAAAATGGAAAAGAAATCCCAACCCTGGAGAGACAGGCCCTTCCCACCCAGCTGTGGCCAGTGTCTGCCGGGCCAGCCAAGAAGACAACTGGGAAGGTCTGGAACTGGAACCCCTGTGCTCAGCCTGTTCTCATCTGTTATCCTCGACGCCGCCTAGTGGTCTGGATGCAACACTGCGCCTCCAAGCTGCCGGAGCCTCCAGCGTCCCGTGTTCCTGCTACCCTACCAGCTAATCCTTTTTCTTCCAGGCTTTTCTCCCCACCTAAGGTTAACACTCCAAGCCTAAAAGGCCTCACAAGGATCATAGCTCCACTTCCCCACACACCTGCTACCGTGTGGAGTAGGAAATTGAAGCTCAGGGATGTGAAGTAACTCATAAACCCAGCCCCATGTTCACCTACGTACCCTGATCCTCGCCAGCTACCCAGCCCTGTTCAGATGCCAGACCAGCTCGGTGACCACTAGGTTCCACTTACATTTGCCATGGATGTGAGTCTGAGTGGGAAGGGGGTTGAGAACCCAAATGAACCTTCAGCGTATCAGGCCCTTTACACATACTCTCCCTTCATCTCCATAACAGCCTTTGCAGGTGGGCGTCACTGTGCCCATGTAACACCGGGCTCAGCAGTCTAAATGACTCACTCAAGGGCCACACAGGGGGCTCCCCTTACCTCTTCCAAACATCAGGTTTAGAGTGAAATCACAGTAAAAAGGAACATGTCAGGCAGCCCTAAAATGTTTGGGGTTGGACTGTGGTTGGGAAGTGGACACCTTTTTTCTACTTGTTCCACTTTCAGGATGTGGGTTTTGTGGGCCTGGCACACCGTGAGCCTCTGGCCTCTTCCGTCATCAGCTACCCAGAGAGGTTCTGTCTGTTACCTGCTCCATGTCCCCCAAGTTCCCCAGGAAGATGAGGGCGAGGGGGTGCTGGGCTAGGGGATGCACAGTCTAGCAGGCTGGCCCAGAGGGTGCCTGTGACCTGGCTTCAGTGAGAACGGAGTGGGACATGACCCCTCCCCCTTCTCCGCCACTTCCCCTTACCCATGTTTTTGGCTGTTGGTACCCCCTCCTCCCTTAGCTGGGAGCAACGGGTGTGGAATTTAACTCCAGGGTGAAGTTTGAAATTTCACATCCCAGCCTGGGAGAGGGCCCCACGGTTTTCTCCTCGCTCCTGGAAACGTGAAAGGAGCCTTTGTGGGCTTGATGGAGGAGGGAGGTGAGCTGCAGCCTGAAAACTAACTTTTTCCATGACTCAGCTCTCCCGGTACAGGGTGGGCACGGGAGGTGCGACACCCAGAAGGGCAGGCTGGAGCCACCTTCCAGCCCAGAGCCGCAGCTCATGCTTAGAGGTGGGCCCCCAAGAGAGCCGGCCCTGTGACCCGCAAGGGAACTTGCTGGCCCGTGATGGGCCACCGTGCTGTAACCGCCCCTTTGCCCCAGGGCTGAGTCCCATCTTTTTTTTCTTTTTTTTTAACCAGGTTACACGTATTTGTTTTTTTTTTTTTTTAAAGTATTATTGATTTAGTGTTTCAGGTGTACAGCAAAGTGATTCAGTTACTATATATGTATACTCTTTTTCAGATTCTTTTCCATTATAGGTTATTACAAGATATTGACTATAGTTCCCCGTGCTCTATAGTAGGTCCTTGTTTTTTTATCTGTTTTATATATAGTCGTGTGTATCTGTTAATCCCAAATTCCCAGTTTATCCCTCCCCCCACTCCCACTGCATCCCCAGTGCCAAGCACACGAATGCCCTTTTCTAGTCCTTTTACCAGGAACTTTCCTTGTCACCATCTCAATTGAGAGCTGGAGAGACAAACGGGTCTCAAGCCTTGCCTTCTGAGGCTTACGGAATTAAGAAAGTCACTTCAGATCACAGCCCAGAGATGGAGGTGGGATTTGAACCCCGGTCAAATGCTCGACTCTGTCTGCTTTATCCATGGATGTCTTCCAGAACGTACAGGACGGCCTGGGGACCTTGTCAAAATGCAGATTCTTGGGCTCCCACCAGCATCCTAGGGTGGGAGTCCAGGAATGTGCATGTGGGCCAGCGTTCGAGAGCCCGCCAGCGCTGCCTCTTCTTGGCCCCTGGTTACTCACAGCCCCTGCACGAAGCCTCCCTCGCCTCTTCCACCAGCAGGCAAGCTCTTCCCTCCTTTATACTTAGGATGTGTCACGACGCTGAGCCCTCCCCCTCGGGTTGTTCTGGGCTGGTGGCTGCACAGATACCTAAGAGGGAAGAAAACGGAAGCTAGAGGAGCAGGGCGTACGTTCAGGGGGCCAGTCCGTCAACCAACGGCCATGGCGTCTCTCCCTGGGCCGCCGCCACGGGGTTGGGGGGTAAGGCAGGATGGGTCAGAGAGGAGCCGTAGGGTGCTGATTCTGGCTTTGGAACTGGGAAGCTCCGGTCCAGATCCCAGCTTTTCCCCTCCCCCCTCCCATCTCCAGCTTCCTCATTTGCAAAGGGCAGATATTAATGGGGATGGGATTAGCTACTCATCAAATCCCGTACCAAGAGCTCA